ATCGTTCTGTTATAAAGACACATGCACTCATATGTCCACTGTAGCACTATTCACAACAGTAAAGGCATGGAGGCAACTAGGTGCCTATGAATGGCGGACTGGATAAAGTAAATATGTACATATACACGATGGAATACTATGCAGCCATAAAAAGAAACAAATCGTGCCCTTTGCAGCAACATGGATGAAGCTAGAGGCCATTATCTTAAGTGAATTAACACAGGAACAGAAAACTAAATTAACACAGGAACAGAACCCCATGTTCTTGCTTATAAGTAGGAGCTGAACATTGGGTATTCATGGACATAAAGATGAAAACAACAGACACTGGGGACCGCTAGAGGGAGGAGGGCAAGAGTTGAAAAACTATTAGGTATTAGGTTCAGTACTTGGGTGATGGGATCAATCATACTCCAAGCCTCAGCATCATGCAATATGCCCATGTAACAAACATGTACATTCTTTAAAATGCCATGTTTCACAAATTGCACATGCTAAATTAAAATTGTTAGGTTCTGTGATAAGTATACATAGTTAACACTTTGATTCTTATCTTTCAGAGCAACTTCTTAAGTAATAAATAAAGGATAAACACACAAAACTGAGCTTCAAAGAGAATCAAGAAAATACTACTCATAAGAAGTTTAAACACCAGTTTTTAAAATTTTTTTATATTGTGGTAAATAAACATAACAAAATTTACCACTAGTCATTTTAAGTATAGAGTTCTGTGGCATTAAGCATATCCACAATGCTGCATAACCATCACCACCATTCTACATATCACTTTAAAAAACAAATATCCAACACAGAAAAATATTAGCCCATCTGACAAAGGGCTAATATCCAGAATCTACAAAGAACTGAAACAAATTACAAGAAAAAACAACCCCATCAAAAAGCGGACAAGGGATATGAACAGACACTTTTCAAAAGAAGATATTTATGCAGCCAACAGGCATATGAAAAAATGCTCATCATCACTGGTCATTAGACAACAGGAAAATCAAAACCATATTGAGATACCATCTCACGCCAGTTAGAATGGTGATCATTAAAAAATCTGGAGACAACAGATGCTGGAGAAGATGTGGAGAAATAGGAACACTTTTACATTGTTGGTGGGAGTGTAAATTAATTCAACCATTGTGGAAGACAGTGTGGCGATTCCTCAAGGATCTAGAAATAGAAATTCCATTTGACCCAGCAATCCCATTACTGACTATATACCCAAAGGATTATAAATCATTCTATTATAAAGACACATGCACACGTATGTTCATTGTGGCACTATTCACAATAGCAAAGACTTGGAAACAACCCTAATGCCCATTAATGATAGACTGGGTAAAGAAAATGTGGCACATATACACCATGGAATACTATGCAGCCATAAAAAAGGATGAGTTCATGTCCTTTGCAGGGACATGGATAAAACTGGAAACCATCATTCTTAGCAAAGTGACACAAGAACAGAAAACCAAACACTGCATGTTCTCACTCATAAGTGGATATTGAACAATGAGAGCACATGGGCACAGGGAGGGGAACATTACACACCAGGGCCTGGGGGGGGGGTGGGGGCTAGGTGAGGAATAGCAGGGGTGGAAGGATTGGGGAGGGATAGAATTAGGAGAAACACCTAATGTAGATGATGGGGCAATGGAGGCAGCAAACCACCACCATGGCACGTGTATACCTATGTAACAAACCTGCATGATCTGCACAGGTAACCCAGAACTTAAAGTATAATAAATTTAAAAATATTTTTTTAAAAAGAGAGGGAATAAATAAAAAGCAAATACTAAAATGGTAGAATATTTGGAAGTACACTATTGAGCACTTTAAACTGATGATATACTTCCCCCCTACAGCAAACCTTTTCATGATAATTTGGACAGAAAATCTGACTGGATGAAGTAACAGCTGTCATCTAAAAATGGAATTTCATACAGGAAAACCCATCTCAAATATGAGAATACCCTATCTTGCTTCACAATCCTGGCACATTGCCCCATCATCTACTCTACAGCCACCAAAGTGCTTATCCCTTTTTCATTTTTCCTCAACATTCCCTCACCATAGCCTATATTCATTCTTACCTTTTCTCTATTTTGCCTTTTTCCTTTTCCTCCCTCCACCCCTGCAAATATAATACATATGATGCAAACTTGAATTTATTCTAGTTGGTTGAAAAAATATGGAGTGTCTTATCTGTCCAAGCTATATCAAGGAGAACTCTGAGAAATTCAGTAAGATAATCCCTGCCCCCAAATAACTATACCATTTTGTGTGATAAACTGCCACATCTTAGTACACTATATCAGTATCATTAACTCTCAAACAAAGTTGACTAGAATTTGGCCTGTCAGAAAATGAACTTCCCCCTGTGAGTACAGAGGACTCTGGGACTTACAATAAGGAAAGCATGTCTCATAGGAACATGAAATTCTCATCTCTTAGAGTGTAAATCTTGCATTTCAGCTGAATAAGAAACCCAAGTTTTATTCCATAAAATATAGAGAAGTACCTAGATAACAGTATGAAATCTTACTTGGTCTGCCTCTGGTTGGCTCCCTACTCACAAATTCCATACAGATAGTGGATATTCTGAAAATATCCTCCCAAGTGCTTTATATAAAGTTTTAACATTTTTGTGATAAAAATATCGTGGTACAAGACAGCTCTCCCTGCAGTTACAAACATCAGTCTACTACCTTTTACTCCCAGGACCAGACCTTGATTTAAGCTATTAATTTGTGATGCAATTTTATACACTCCAACTTGCAGAAATAAGAAATTCACTTTACCAAATTTTCCTTTTTGTGGAGTCTACTCATATAGGGTTGGGAGTGTAAGAGCCAATCCTTGATCCCTTTGCACAAACCCTTCTCTTTTCTAATACCCAAAAGTCAACACAACTAATCCTCTGTATCTCCTACACTGTACCAGCCTGCGGTATAAGCTAGAAAGAGCAGAGAGAATATTCATTCAAATATTTGGCTCAGGGTAGACTGCTCAATAAGCTTTGTATTAATTCATTTATCAAATTAATACTTTTTTAAAAATTATCTGTAGGTTAAGAATTTAAACAGGCATTAAGTAAGTCACCTTAAAATGTGCCCAAGAGCCAGCTGAAAATATCTGTGAAATAAAAGAAATGGAAATTCTATGTGAAAATACTTTCCAAACCTTAAGGTCCTATAGCAATGTTATTACTAAAATTATAATAGGGTGTTCAATCTGTTTACAGGATCAATTCTTTACAGGTTCCTAAAATGTTTTTATAGTTCTTCCTCTCCCACAGGCTATATCATTAGCCTCGATCATTTCTGGGTAAAAGAAAATAAATATTAACTGTAATGTTTTAAAAATAACTTCCAAGTATAGCTAAAGCTGTATTTTCAAGTAAATACAAAACTGAAGTACTTGATGCATAAACTTGTGCGCTGGGGTATTCTTTAATACCATGTTTGTATCCTTTTATCTCAACTCTTAAAGTAAGGCTTGTGTTTACAACATCACCAAACTGCTAGCAACATCCAACTGTACTGCACATGGCACATTCTGGTGGTGCAGTCCACTATCTTTTACTCTACTTCACAGAGCAGTCCATCAAAAAATGGCAGCAAATTCTGTTAAGTACTACAAAGACAAAACAAAGTTACATCACACACTTTATAGGCGAAAACTATCGGAGAGTTATTCAGGAATATGAGACTAAGATACTCCTTTTCTGGTTTTATTTTCTTCTTCTTCTGGCGGTTGCTACTGTTTTAAACTACACTAGACAATTGATTTTGAATCATTCTAATTTGGTATTCACTCATTTATCAAACAGAAAAGCAACTACTTTTCTTATTTTTATTCAGTCTTCTTTTCATTCAACAAAAATTGTCTTCTATATACCAATCCAGCAACATAAACAAGATGCAAATGGTAAAAACAAGACAACAAAGATCCATATCACTTCAATAATTTGGTGCTTTTATAGTCTAGCAGGGGAGACAGGTAATACTTGCATGTTATGTACTAGGCCAAAAGTATAGACGGGGCCCTGTATTCCTTCTATTCCTAATCTAATATTTATAAACAGTATCTAATTATGAATATATACACAGAGCTCCTAGAATCAATAAGAAAAAACCCACAATCCAATAGGAAATGGGCAAAGGATATAAACCATTGGTTGACAGAAAAGGAAATACAAATGACTTCTAAACATATAAAAAGATGCTCAATCTCACTTAAAACAACAGAATTGATACTTTAAAGAGTATCAGTATACCATTTTCACCTATGGCAGTTTGACAACCAAAAAGTATGACAAAATACTCTTTGGGGAAGCATGGGAAACTAGAGCTGTCAGACATTGCTGCTGGGCATATAAATTGGTACAAGCTCTAAGGAAAATTGTCAACATCTATCAAAATTTTAAATACTTATACTTTTTGATCCAGCTAATTTTTTTCTTTTTGGTCACTTCCATAATATTAAGCCCATCACTAAGGTTTTTTTGTCTCTGAGCTCTGTCACTGAGAACTCAGTATTTTTTTTTTTTTTTTTTTTTTTTGAGACGGAGTTTCACTCTTGTTACCCAAGCTGGAGTGCAATGGCGCGATCTCGGCTCACCGCAACCTCCGCCTCCTGGGTTCAGGCAATTCTCCTGCCTCAGCCTCCTGAGTAGCTGGGATTACAGGCACGCACCACCAAACCCAGTTAATTTTTTGTACTTTTTTTTAGTAGAGATGGGGTTTCACCATGTTGACCAGGATGGTCTTGATCTCTTGACCTTGTGATCCACCCGCCCCGGCTTCCCAAGGTGCTAGGATTACAGGCGTGAGCCATTGTGCCCAGCCCCCCAAGTATTTTTTTTTATTTCAGATATATTTTAGTTCTAAAATTTGTTTTTCTTATGCTTTTTATTTTTCTACTGACATATCTCTCAATTCACTTATAGCATTTTTTAACTTATCTTATAATTTACAGCGTTCACTTACCTCCTTAAGCACAGTCAAAGAGATCCTTTAAAGATCCTGTCTAATAATTCCAACATCCGGATCATCCTAGGGTTGCCATTTGTTTTCCTTGAGACTGTTTAACATTTTTCTAGTTCTTTGTATATCAAGTCATTTTGGGTTTTATTCTGAACATTGTGTATGTTATTCAGTATATGCCTTGAGTTCTAGTTGTAAACCAAAAAGTAACTGAGGCAGATCTCAGAGGTTTATTTTGCCAAGGCTGAGGGCACACCGGTGACTAAGAAACACAAGTCAAAGTAGAATCTGTAACCTGAACTTTTTCCAAAGAGGGTTTTGAAACTTCAATATTTAAAGAGAAAAGGGCAAGCATGAGGGGAAGAAAAAAAGGAGTGGGTGAGCAAGTAGGAAAATCGTTACATCCTTATGAGGCTCTGCTTGTCCAGTGATTACATATGAAAAGAAGGGAGTAAGGGAAAAGTCAATTATGCATTCTTCTCAGGCATAATTGAAAAGAAAATCTTTTTCAAAAGATGAGAAATCTAAATCTAGATTTTACACAAGATAAAATAAACATGTAAAAGTATAGTTATTTGGGATTAAAGGAATGCAGTTTTTGCTAGTGACTCAACTCCCAAGCTTCACTTTCCCTTTGGCATAGTGAGTTTGGTGTCCCAAGATTCTATTTTTCTTTCACATATTCCTTAAGAAAAAACACTTAAGCAGGCAATTAACTTAGACTTGTATCAGAGGCTTTGTCTCACTTTTTGTGAGTGGTAACTTAAATCCCAGTTCATTTCTTTAAGACTCTGAGTTTCTGTTGAGCACATGTGATTCAGAAGTGAGCTTGAGACTTGGGTGGAATTCATACACAGAAATAGAGGATTCCTCCTTGTGACTGTATTCCCTCCAGAACTCCCCCTTCTCTCATTAGGTATGGCTGTTGCATGGTCTTTTCTCTGATTCTTCCAGCTGGAAAGATGGCGGTGAGCTTTTATTATAGTTTTAACTATTCATGCTATACCACTTTGACTGTGGCCTACCCTCAGGACAACCCCCACCTCCCACACACAAAGGAACTCTCACCCATGTGCTACTTGTCTTCAAATTCTGTCTCCCTTCCACAAATGTCTTTTTCTCTTCAGAATCCTCAGGTAGTTTTTTACATTTTCTCCAGAAATGTATAGTTACCATCAGGATGGCAGATACTTTGTAGAAAGCGTACATCATCATACAAACTACTTTTGTTTGAAACATAAAAACATATTGCCATGCAAAAAATTACATTAATATAATTTAAAAAATATGTGGCAGTGGCCAGTTTCTTAAACTGGGCAATGTTTACATGAACATGTGTTTTAGAATTACTTCTTATGTTTTTTTAATGTCCTTTTCAGCACTTTTTTTCCTGTTCTCTTGCCTGGGCTGAGTAATTTTTTTTTAATGAGGTATCAGCCCTTCATAAAAGCCTTCGCCAAACCTTCATTCCTTATTTAACTTACCTTGCTGATAATATTGTTATAAAAAAATACATTTACAGTATTTCAGTAAGTAGATGGGAAAACTGAATACACACATAATCCCTTGAACTGTAAAAGTAAATACTTTCTAAAAAAAAAAATCTAACATGGGCAAGGATAACCTAATAAAGTGTTTTAAAGTGGATCAAGTAAACAATCCTCTGCAGTATTTCAAGACAGCAGAGAACACAGGCTTTGGATTGAGATCTTGGTTCAATTTCTGGCTCTATCTCTTATTAGCTGTGTGACCTTGGGTAAGTTACATCAGCTCTGTGAACTTATGCCCTCATTTCAAAATGGAGAAAATAATAGTACCTACCTCACAGGATACTGAGTGGACTAATTAGGTAATGAATGCAAATCATTAAGCATAGTGCCAGGCACCTATAAAATGTTCAGTGAAGTTATAGTAGCAATAGTTTCCTCTGAATTCCAAAGGACCTATTCTATGCCCTATTTACTCAACTACTAATCTTTATTGGACATACCTCTACAAAAAGAAATCGGAAGGTTCCTTTACTTCCAAGAATGAATGACTTACAGATTTAAATGACTCTCTTAAAAAAAGAAAGAAAAGTTTTAGTTTAAAGGCGCCCTCTAGTGATATGTTACGTGCAAGTACCTGGCATCTACAAAAGATAAAACCTCTTCATGAAATGTCACTACCCTGAAGTCAGCTGGTTGAGATGAATACAGTATGGGGAGCACTACCACACATCTTTTAGGAGGTTACCTATGTGCAAGAGCTGAAAGGTGCTGTTGTTTGTTTGTTGTCTTTTATAACTTTCTTCACCATATGACCTAGGATATTTATTCCTACAGCACTGACTTTAAAATCCCTTCTCTTAAAACTGGGCCACTTTCTAGTTTGCTTTAAACAAACATGGCAAAGTATTTATTCTTCTTTACATAACAAATACAATGGCCGGGCTCGGTGGCTCACGCCGGTAATAGCACTTTGGGAGGCCAAGGCAGGTGGATCACCTGAGATCAGCAGTTCGAGACCAGCTTGACGACATGGTGAAATCCCATCTCTACTAAAAATGCAAAAATTAGCAGGGAGTGGTGGTGAGTGCCTGTAATTCCAGTTACTTGGGAGGCTGAGACAGGAGAATCACTTGAATCCGGGAAGCAGAGGTTGCAGTGGGCCAAGACTGCGCCATTGCCTGGGCAACAAGAGTGAAACTTCGTCTTAAAGAGCACCAATGATGTACCAGGCAATGAGGGTACAATAAACTTACTACACAATTATTATATAATTACAAATGTGCAAAATGCCGTAAGAAGACTGCCATGAGCACACAGTAGGAGATTGGTCTAGTATGGGGGTAGGAGGCAGGAAGGCTTTCTTGAGAATAAAATACTTAAAGCCTTGAGGGGTAAGTAGATAGTAACGGAAAGAAGAAAAGGAGTACCATACAAAGATAATAGTAAATGTAAAGGCCTGGAGATGACAAGGTACACGCGGCATTTGAGAAATCAAAGAAATGATCCTATGCACGGAGCTCAAAGGAGAGATTGTGCAAGGTGAGGCTAGTGAAGTAGGCAGGGACTTAATAAGAAGTTTGAATTTCATCCTAAAAACAATGGGAACCGATGGGAGAGTTTAGAGCAATACAGCAATTATCTGATTTACATTTTCAAAAGTTCCCTTGGCTGCAGCACAGAAAATGGATTTGAGGGAATTGGGGCAGAATGAATCCCCAGACCAGCTGTAGTAATATAGGTGCGACAAGGGAGGTGACAACAGAGACAAAAAGAAGTGGAAAATATTCAAAAGGTTAGATGGACTAAGGAAACTGTTGGGAGTAGTGGTCCCGGTAAACTGCATTTTTTCCACTAGGCACAGCTGGTGGTATCCGTTAGGAAGAAGGTAGAGAAAATGAGCCGTTTAGGAATCTAGCGTTTTCCTCTTAAAAAGACTTGTTTGGCTACAAAGTGTAACATTTTAACTGAATGCTCAACCAGCACTGAAGCGGAGACATGAGGCACTGCCTTTCACTCAAGAGAGCCGCAAAATGTCCTTTTCAGACTTTTATCACAGTGACCCACTCGCACCGCGCCTTTACCTTGCCTCTGCCTGGAACGTCCTTAACTCCCTCCTGCCGCAAATTTCACCAGATTTTTGTTTTCTAATCCAGTCTCAAGGAAGACTTCCCGGCATCTCCCAGCCTACCGATCCTCCCGTCAATCTCGCCCACCACACTGAGTTCAGATAGCACGGTTTGAACTCATCTTTTTGTGTCTGTGTCCTGCACAGCGCCAACCCATCACTAAGCGCGCCACAAACTCAGCCCAATCTTAACGCCAAGTCTCTCCTAAAGACCGTCAGCGACGCCGGAAGTGACGCGCTCTCGGGCACAATGTGCTTCCGGTTTCCAAAGCCGTAGGAAGGCTGGCTTCTCTGGCTCACTAACTCGCCTGCTCTGGGGGATTCGTGCGCGGTAAGAAGCTGCGCGGTAGCGCAGTGAGGTGAGGTTCTCTACCATGAAAGCCACAGGGTCTCATCGTTCGTTCCCTCTGACCTGGCGGAACTTGTGTGTGAAGCTGGGAGGACACAGGGCCTGGCTGCTGGGTCCCTGAGCTGGCTGGAGCGTGGGATGCGCCGCCTGTCTAGGGGCGCTGGCCTCAGCTGTTGGGCTCGGGCGGGCGGGGACTGCGCGCCCAGACTCCCTGGGATCCGCACGCGAGTGGGCCGTTCGGCTCTCCCACTTCACCCTCTTGATAACTCTCAGCCTCCCCCTTCCCATGTATTCAAGGGAAGGATGATGCACTTCATTTTGAACAGCCTCGGTCCCCACTGTGACAGTCGCAGGAACTTCAGCGAAGAGTGCGCTCGGAAAGTGGGGTGAACCGTCTCACAACAATTCATTAGGTCCACCCTTCAGCTTCCACCCTTGGAGGAGATCTTTCTGTTGCCAGGAGCTGAGACTTGAAGGGGGATTGCGCAGGGATGACGGTCTTAAAAAGTGGCTTAGGCCGGGCGCGGTAGCTCGTGCCTGTAATCCCAGAGAGGCCGAGGCGGGCGGATCTCCTGAGCTCAGGAGTTCGAGACCACCCTGGGCAACATGGTGAAATCCCGGTCGTTACTAAAATACAAAAAATTAGCTGGGTGTGGTGGCACGTGCCTATAATCCCATCTACTCGGGAGGCTGAGGCCAGAGAATCGCTTGAGCCCCGGAGGCAGAGGTTGCAGTGAGCTTAGATCGCCCACTGCACTCCAGTTTGGGGTACTTGGGCTACAGAGTGAGACACCATCTCAACAATGACAACAACAAAAAAGGTGGTGGCTTAATACAGCCATGCTTCCCTTAGCAGCTGGGATGGTTCTGAAAAAGGTTGGGCCGTTTCGTGCTTGTGCAAACATATTGTACTTAACACGAACCTACACGCTTGGGCTGTATGTGATAGCTTGTTGCTTCTAGACTACAAACCTGTACAGCATGACTCCACTGAATACTGTAGGCAGTACTATAAAAGGATGTGTGTATCTAAACAGAAAATATACTGTAAAAATATGATATAAAAGAGAGTGTGGTACACCTGAATAGGGCACTTACTACGCATGGAGCTTGCAGGGCTGTCGGTATCTATGGGTCAGTCAGTGAGTGGTGTGTGAGTGTGAAGGCCTAGGATACTACTGTACACTACTCTAGACTTTATAAATGCTGTGTGCTTAGTCTAATCTGTTTATTTAAAAATGTTTAAAAACCTTAGCTTACTGTGCCAAACTTTTAAATGAATTTTAACTTCTTCACTCTTGTAATAACAGCTTAAATAAAACGTGAATATGTTGCATGGCTATCAAAATATTTTTTTATTCCCTTATATTATTATATAGATTTTTCCTGTTAAAATTATTTTTGTTGTTAAAAACTAAGGCACACACATTATGCCTACACCAGGTCAGTATCATCAGTATCACTCTTCTTCCTCCACATCTTGCCCTACTGGGAGGTTTTCAGGAGCAGTAACATGAATGGAGCTGTCATGTTTTATGATAACTGCCTTTTTCCGGGATACTTATAAATATCAAGTATTACATACAGTACATCATTGTAAGCACTATGCTTGTATATGACTGGCAGGCCAGTGGGTTTGTTTACACCAGCATCACCACAGACATGAGTAATGTGCTATACTATGAATTATGAGGGCTACAAAATCACTAGGCAATAGGAATTTTTCAGCTCCATTATAATCATCTGAGACCACTAACATGTGCAGTCACTGTTGACCTAAATGTTATGTAGTGTGTGATTGTAGTTGATGAATCTTTGATTATGGCTGAATGTTCTCATTCATTGCAGGCAAAAAAATACCCTCCAAATTACTAGGTAGTATGTAAAGTAACCAAAACTTTGTTCAGTTTTGTGTTGGAGCTAAATAATTAATGCTAGAATAAATTACTTCTTTATGTATGTTCTCTAAATTGAAAAGTATTTCTGAATATTATAGCATAAGTATTAAGGGTGTAAAAACACGATACAGATTTTGTGTGAAAGGTATCTTATGATTCGGATCATAATTTAAATAGAATTGAAGATGATGTGAAATCACTGGGCTGAAAGTAGCTTATACCTTGATTAGTAAGAAAGGAAGCCCAGTATCATCCTGTGATGATAAACACTTTTATATGTTTTACTTATAATTCTGCCAGGAAATTTCAGCAAACTTCATATTAAAGGACATAATTTCTGTATACTTAGTAATCTGCTATGCAAATTGTTGCATTGAAGTGGCAGACTAAGCAAGAAGACTGGTAGAAAATAGCTGTGGGACTTGGAGATAGGAAAATAAACAGCCAGGAAAACTGCAGAATTTGGAAGGAATAATTGCATTCATTGTATTAGTGTCTGATTTATATTTTATGAAATAATTTGGTTTAAGATAATTTTTTAATTTAAGAAAAGCACACTTTTCTTTTTTAACTGGTGGGGCAGCTTTTCTGGTAAGTGGTAGATTTATATTAGAAGCATATCTATGCAGTGTATTACAGCATTAAATATGTATATGGATATCTAACTGAAGTAAAAAGGGTTTTAATAATTAAAAGTTTAACATATGGACATATTTAGTGGAGATCTAGTAATATAGCATGTCGCTTTAGTTGTGTTGTTTTGTTATTGATGACTAACCATCCATCTTTGTCTTAAAAATTGATACAGTACCTCTGATGAAATTATGACCAGGTGGGCACGAGTTAATACCACATATAACAAAAAACCCTTGCCTGCAACATCATGGGAGGACATGAAGAAGGAATCCTTTGAGGGAACAAGCCAAAACCTACCAAAGCATAAACGACTTGAAGCCAGTAGGCTATCCCTTAAAAATTATGCACCCCAAGCAAAACATAAAAAGAACAAAAAGAAAAAAGAGTACTTAAATGAAGATGTGAATGGATTCATGGAATACCTAAGACAGAATTCACAGATGGTTCACAATGGGCAAATTATAGCAACAGACAGTAAGGAAGTAAGGGAAGAAATTGCAGTTGCTTTAAAGAAAGACAGTCGACGGGAAGGAAGAAGATTAAAAAGACAAGCAGCAAAGAAAAATGCAATGGTGAGAGCATACCTTGTTATTTATTTAGCTAGAAACTATTCTTATACTAACATACGTATATATCATAGCAGGGTCTGGTTACTGTTATGTCCCAGATTTGTAAAGCATCGTTTTAAGGACTAGTACTATTTTAGCATATATATGGCTAGGCACATGATGTACGGGTTAATTATCACAACACCACAATAAAGGTGATGGCATTATTCCCATATTATGGATGGCAAACACTGAAGTGCAGACAGATTAAATAACTTGTGAAAGCCACTTAACTAGTAGCAGAGATGAAATTCAAACCCAGCCTGTCTGACTTCAAAACCTATGTTGTAAACCAGATGTGGTAGCCTATATCTATAATCCCAGCACTTTGGGAGGCTGAAAAGTAGGAGGATCATTCGAGCCCCGGAGTTAAAAGACCAGCCTGGGCAACATAGGGAGACCTCCTCTCTACCAAAAGAAAAAAAAATCAGCCAGGTGTGGTGGTACATACCTGTGATCCCAGCTATTTTGGAGGCTGAGGCAGGAGGATTGGGCCTGGGAGGTCGATGCCGCAGTGAACCATGGTCAACCGCTGCATTTCAATCTGGGTGACAAAACGAGAGTTTGTTTTCCAAAAATATCAAAACCTCTCCTTGCCTTCCAGTAGCCCCTTTTTCAAATTACCATTGAGAAAATGTCAAAATTATGAAGAAGGTAAAGTACAATACAGCAGATTAAATGTGTGGGAGTCCCTATTACTTGGAAAGGATATTCTTGGTCTTTATGAAATACTGAGGCTCTGGAAAGAGATACATAGGAGTCACACTAGTTAGGGCATAGTAATAGCAGAATTAAAAGTCCTTGAGACTCCCTTGTCATTGCCCTCTCTCCCCGATGTTACATTCAAAGGAATGCTGGAGGCAGCAGATTTCTTCTGTAATGCCTAGCTCTAGATTTTAAAGTATGTCAGGCACAGGGGATAAAATGCTTGGTATAATTATTTCCTTGGGAAGTGAGCTTCCCAAGTCTCCTAGCATGACACTTCATATGAATGAGGACTTGTTGCCAGTTATTATTTTTTTATTAGTATTAATATATGTAGAGCACTGTTTGCACCAATGCAGGCTTGAAATGTTAACAGCCTCTATAAATGTGTCTTTTGGCTGTTTGCAACATTATTCTATGCATTGTTATATTTAAAGATAATTATTTACAAATAATACTAATGAAACATTCCTTATGGATAAATTTGCATAGAAAAAATAACATTTCTATTGGTATCAGAATAGAGTTTTGTCTGTTTTAAAATATTTTAAGTCATTTTAATTTAATTCAGTTGACATATGGTGAATTACATACCATTTGAAAATGTTTACTGTTAATGACCTCTTAAGAAAAGCATTATGTTTGTAATTAAGTGGGGAAGAATGTTGTTTTTTAAAAAGGGGAGTGCTATATGAATAGTATATGGCTTGTTATGACCTATTGTTAATTTGCTTTCTTGCTATTTTTTAATACCTTACACTAAACATCAGTCCTTAAATGCTAATAAATTGATTATGCTATAGAAATTTACAGTCACAATCCCATCTACATTAAACTTAAGGACCATTCAAAAATTTTGCATTAGGTGATGATTAGGTTTTAAAGGAGAAGGCAGTGAACTAAGGCAGTGGTCTCAGCTTAGTAGAGACCACTTTGACTTCAAGAAGCCAAGACTTCCCATGGTGGTAATGCAGGTTTTAGCAGTAGCTTTTCCTGCATTTGTATAAGAAATGCAGCCTCTTTGTTTGGACCAGCTCATTCTAAATGTACAAGTTACTGAAGAATTTAAAGGGACTGATTCTTTTTCAATATTTTATTAAGTAGGAAGAAAAGAAAGGACAGAGTTATAAAATAAATGTTTTATTTTACCTATTGAATTTGCTTTTTAAAAAAAAACCTGTGTTTATTTTGAAAAACATAATTAAATGACTATTTATTATCCAAGAAATATGTCTTTTTCTAGTTTAAATAAAATAGTTTAAATAGCTGCCATATTTGTTTATGATTGATGTTCTCATTTATTGCAGCAAAAAAATTCTTCAAATTTCTGTAAATAACCATTACTCAGTTTATGTTGGAGCCAAGTAATTCATCTCAGAATAAATTACTCATTTAAAATGTATTGTGTATATATTCTAAAAATGAAACCTATTTCTGAATATTAAAGAATGTGTATGGCTGGTTGCAGTGGCTCACGCCTGTAATCACAGCACTTTGGAAGACCGAGGTGGGAGGATCACGAGTTCAGGAGATCAGGACCATCCTGGCCAACATGGTGAAACCCTGTCTCTACTAAAAATACAAAACTTAGCTGGGCATGGTGCCACGTGCTTGTAATTCCAGCTACTTGGGAGGCTAAGGCAATTGAATCACTTGAACCCGGGAGGCAGAGGTTGCAGTGAGCCGATATCGCACCACTGCACTCCAAGCCTAGCAAGAGAGCAAGACTCCGTCTCAAAAGAAAAAAAAATAAAAGAATGTGTATTTAGGGTACAAAAACAAGGATATACTTTTTTGCTATAAAATATATCTTATGGTTTGAATCATAATTTGAATGGAAACATTTGACCCAAATTCATTCAATTATGTGAACTTTAAAAGAAATATTTTTAAGAATTTTACAAGTACATAATAATTACACACAAACACAAATTTTGAGTGATAATTTTTATAGCCACTGTCCATCTCCTATAGAAAACTTCATTTTTCTGCTGTGGACATTCCAGTTAATCAAATGAATAGTCCATATTTGCTCAATTCATTTAAGCAATTGCGTTCCACAAAGCCACATATAACATTGTTCCTGAGATTGATAGATTTATTGGTTAAGGTTTTCAAAAGCAATAAAACCCTCTGATGGAAAGGACATCTCTTATTGTTTAGGAATGTATGAAACACTTTTTCCTATAAATAAAATATTGAAATTTCAGAAAAAGAGCTAAATAAGGTGAGAAATGTTTTAAATACGTTTTTGATAATAAGAATTAATAAAGTCACTGGTATAGCTTTGCAGTGTGGCAACCCACATTTTGTTTTTCCAGGTGTGTTTCCATTGTAGAAAACCTGGTCATGGAATTGCAGATTGCCCTGCCGCCCTTGAAAATCAAGATATGGGCACTGGAATATGTTACAGGTGTGGGTCCACAGAGCACGAAATAACCAAGTGTAAGGCTAAAGTAGACCCAGCTCTTGGTATGTTTTTCAGTTTTTTGTTTGGTTGGTGGGAAAAGCCAATAAATAGCACCCTGGGTATTTTTTTGTTAACAAAGTTTGTTATGAATGTGCCACTTAGTATTTGAAAATCATATGAGATTAAATTTTAAGTTATGTAAAAATATTTTTTATTCAGAGTATTTTAAAATAATGTGAATTTTTATGATTTGCCATATGTATTGTCAGCTTAATAGGAACTGTTGATTTTTATAGGTGAATTTCCTTTCGCAAAATGTTTTGTTTGTGGAGAAATGGGGCACCTGTCTAGAGCTTGTCCTGATAATCCCAAAGGACTCTATGCTGATGGTAAGTACTGTTACCCTCGTATAGCAGAAATGGTGGTCATGGTGCAGTTGTGATTTAATTTACACTCAATCAGTTCTTGAATAAATTCTTGAATAAATTGCAAAGCCTTGAGATTTCATTATTTGTATCACATGCTGTTATATGTACTGGGCTTTTTGTGCAGTTTGTGAGACTATGTTATACATTTCTACTTTTAGATATAATAGAAGCAGAGGGATTATATCTCAAGCTAATATAAGATTTTTAAAATCATGTTATATATTTAACCTCAGACAGCATAGTGTTTTGGTGGAAGGGCAGGTACACATGACTTAATATTGCAGTAATGTTTGCTTCTGAATTTTTTTCTTATTTTTCTGGCGTGGGATTATGTGGCTTTTTTCTCTTTAACTCAGGTAATTAAGGTTCACACAGTAAAGTCTGTATGGTCTACAGCTTTAAGGAGGAGGTTGTTATCTCTTAATGTGATGGCTGGTGCCATGAGGCCCTAGATGTTTCTTGTGTCATGTCCTGAGTTTCCCCTGGAGAAGTCCAGTGAAAAAGTTTACTTTTGGAGTCTGTCAGACTTGGGTTATAGCCCCAGCACTGCCACTCACTAGCTGGGGGACTTTGGTAAACTTACTAAACTCTTATCTCAGTTTCCTCACTTGTAGAATGGACATGATAAAACTGTATTTTATTGATCCTAAGATGCACAGTTTTTGAATTTTAATCTCTCTGAAATCAGAATGTATCTTACCATTGGTGATCACACATAACTGACAGCTGTTTTTCTGAGAGATATGTGCAATAATGATACATCTTATAATCAGTGGTATCTTAGAGTTGATGAATTAAAGAGTTATTATAACAATTAAAATATACTATTCAAGTGCTTCTTTTTCACTATGACATGTAAAGAGACCAAGGCCTGGAAAATGCTCAGGTACATTTTAGTTTTGAGCTGATGAAACTGGGTAGATAACATGACTAATGAGCAAAAATGACTTTCACTGGTCAACCAAAGAGACTAGATGTTTAAAAAAAGATTAATGCAGCAAGGAGAGTAGATCACATAGATGTGAAAATTTGGCCAGATTTGCCTGTGTGTGCTTTGATTTTATAATTTACAATCTTTTGTTTCCAATAAGGGGCTTTCTGTAACTTCTCTTAATTTAGAACACTTTGGAAGCAATAGAAACTTTGGATACATTTTTTTATGGTACATGTGATGTATATAGAATTAGTACTTTATTTTTAAGAGGTAAAGCATTGTTGGGGGGTAAAGTAGGGTGGGTTTCCAACTTTGCATTTTTTATATTAAAAATAAAGTCAAGATTTGAGGAAAAGAAAATTCGGCCAGATTTGTATCTGATTAGCTCAGTGTTCTAAGTCACTTAACATTTCGAGCATGATCACAATAGTGCTTGACCATTAAGCAATAGTGTTTGATCATTAAGTGAAAGATTTATTTTAGAAACTACATGTGTCATATTTCACAATCCTGAAATGTTGTTTAAAGTAGGCAGATGGGCATTTTTATAGGGATAGGGTACCTGGCTAATGAAAGGCACTGAAACAAAAATTAACTTTCTTTCATAAATGCTTACCCCCATCTGATCTGTACAGTTGAATAGTGGTTTCTAATCTGTTTCTGGGCCATTGACTGTTTGAGAATCTGACATACTATTCAGGAAAGTGCATCTGCTTACAACTTTTGTTTACAGGTCCAAGGATTCACAGACTCTTGACTGTCTAAGCATTGTTAAGATCCAGGCTTCTGTGCAATGGCGCTTGAACAAATGCCTTCCATCGTATCTCATTTCTCTTTCCTACTTTTCTCAAGGCCAGGTGCAAGAAGCAGTGGGTGGGTACAATTTAGTGCTCTGTGAGTGTCAAAGGAATGAATGAATTTTTAATAGGAATGGTGGCTCCTCCCTATGTTCCTGGTCCAGCTGCCTTTACAACTGGCAAGGAAGTGAGGATCCAGTAAGATGGGAAAGTGCTTTGAGATGTTAAAAATTCCGTGTAAGTATGAGATGGTATTCAGTATTCAGTGACTTTGCTCTTTCAATAGGTGGTGGTTGCAAACTTTGTGGCTCTGTGGAGCATTTAAAGAAAGATTGCCCGGAAAATCAGAATTCAGGTGAGATCTCTGGGCTTCTCCTTAGAAGGGGTGAGATTAGTATTCTGTGTTTTATTCTGCACTTGTTATTAATCACTCATTGAGGTACTAATGATTTTAAGACAACCTGTTTTCCTATTGTAGCAATGACTTAATCACTTCTCTGTTAGCAATAGACACACATAGTATTAAGTAACTGAGTAGTTGGGGAAAAAAGTGACCAATCAGCCTTAGAGGACCCTGACTTTATAAGACATCTTATTCACAAGCATTTATATTTGCTAACAAATGAATTTAATATAATAGAGCCAATTCTCTTACAGAAAAGTATGAATTCACTAAGAGAAAATAAAAAATATGAAATAATTTTCAATAGTCTTGTTATTGAGTGTCCCCATGTACTCTTTGCTTTGTATATACCTAAAAGATTCAGAGTTGATTGCAGAAACTACCAAAATATTAAAAATGTGTTGAATCTGGCTAGTTATTTTCTTCCTGATGAAATACCAGCCTTATTTATCAAAAACTTCAGAGATGTTCACTATACCTATGGCAGACTTTTGAGGAAGTGATGATTATTACATTAGTTTGCCTGGACTAGAATGATGAACTCCTATGGGTAAGAAAGCAAGAAGACAGTAGGATAGCCCAGCAGTGCTTGTTATAGAAAGAGCACATTTCTTTTTATTTCACGTAGTCACAACACTACACAAATAAGTCTGCTCATTCTTACTTCCTGTCCCTAACATTTAAATTTGAAAACCAAGAGTTCTTGTTTACAAGCTTGTCTAGAAGATAGTCTTTAGTACATTGTAGGCAGTGAGATTGAAATGATGAAGTGGAATTTGAATTCTCCCTCCTGGGAGGATTGCCACTTTCCAAATGACAAGACTGACAAGCAGATGTGGTATAATTTCACAGGTGGAATCTTGTGCATTTAAAACTGATGCTTCATAAGCCTTGCTGTTTACAGACTCTTGGAATTCATTGACTTTGTAATGATGAACTCTGGGAAAGAATGAAGGAGCTTTCTCATCAATTCATGCATTGCAAAGTAGTTGCTGCATTTCCCTAATTGGGATGAGAAATTGCCTGTGGTACTCTGAAATCAAGGGTTATAATCAATTACAGAATTTCTCACTTTCCTTTAGTGATGGAGTCTTCTCTCCTTGTGATTATTCATGTCAAAATGAGTTCCTTTCCAAAACCAATGACAATATGAGTGGATGCATTTGATTACTGTTTTTCTCAGATTCTGACTTTTCTATTCCTTTACAGATCGAATGGTCACAGTTGGTCGCTGGGTAAAGGGAATGAGTGCAGATTATGAAGAAATTTTGGATGCACCTAAACTGCAAAAACCCAAAACAAAAATACCTAAAGTTGTTAATTTTTGATAACAACTAGCACTACCATTAGTTACCACCTCATTTTTACTTTCTAAACAGACCCATTTCACAAGTTAGAGTCGGGCTCCCTTGTGGCCAGGACTGCACTGTAGATAGCAGTATGATCTAACTGTGATCAAAAACCATTTTTTTTATTCTGTGCATCAAATAGTACTTCTACCACTGTTTGGAGAAAACTAAGAAGAGAATAAGATGGTTAAATGGATTCTCTTAAAGAATACATTTTAAGGGACAGAACTTAGGCATAACTAAGTGGATGTATACCTAATTGTAGCAATCATCTTTTATAAAAGCAAAATTATGCATGAATGTGAAACACCCCTAAACAAAGGATACAAATGAACTTTTGGTGATACTGTTTTCTTGGCTCAAAGTATCAATGTATTATTATAACAGAAATGTACAAGTTGCTAGAAAGTCTGTCTTTTTAAAATATGGAATAAAAATGTGTTTTCTATTACTTGTTTTTCTGAATACCTGATTCTTGATTGAAATAGCCAGTATTTGTTAATATCCACCTAACATTCCCTTTGGAAACAAGATTCTTTATGACTCTTAGATGAGAATAAACATTTTTTGTTTTAGTTTTGACACAAAGGATTTTATGTAATCCTTTGACATAAAAGGATGACAAGTTACTAAAGTTAAAATTGAAATAACTCAATTTAACAGCAGCTCTTTTTGTCCTTGATTTTTGAGAGAGAAATTCTAGCTAAAATTCAGTTTTCATTACTTAACCAGAATGATGGCACATAACAGACTGTATAATAAACTTAATAGCATTTTGTTCACATGTTTTAGATGAGGCAGAGTGAGATGGAAGTATCACCATAATAGAGTTAGAACACTAATCAGAGACCCATTAGCGTCTTTGTTTGATTTGATGAATTCATGCATACTTAATACATACATTTCACAAGGCATAACACTACCATTGTACTGTATAATGGAATGACTCTAGTGGTTTTGTGTTTCATTTGAAATTTTACCTGATTGAATCCATTTGTAACTAAAGGAAACAGCTGTGATTAGTTACTGATGCCTCAAAAGCAAAATATTTACCAAATAAGAAAAGAAACACTTTTCTCTGTTTTCATATCTGTACAACTCAACAGTTCTAGTCTTAATAAGGAGCTGTTCTTTTATTTCAGTGTGAGAGGAAAACATGATGACAAAATACTGCTCAATATCCCAGAGTTTAAGGAAATGAGTGCCATTTAAAAGGAATTGCACAAGCCATGCAGCTGGAAAAGGATAGTAATGCTGCCTTAGTCATCTAGTCTGAACACACCCAGATTTATTTCACCTGACCCATTAGCAGAAGGCTTTGTAGAGTCTACAGCCTGTCAGCTCAAAGTTACGTCTATTGCTTTTTGTAGTCTTGAGTGCAAGGGTATTGGTATCCCTTTTGTCTTAATTGGATTACTTTGTTTATATACACATATATATATATATATATATATATTTTTTTTTTTTTTTGAGAGGGAGTTTCGCTCTTGTTACCCAGGCTGGAGTGCAATGGCGCGATCTCGGCTCACCGCAACCTCCACCTCCCGGGATCAGGCAATTCTCCTGCCTCAGCCTCCCGAGTAGCTGGGATTACAGGCATGTGCCACCATGCCCAGCTGAGTTTTTGTATTTTTAGTAGAGATGGGGTTTCACCATGTTGACCAGGATGGTCTGGATCTCTTGACCTCGTAATCCACCCGCCTCGGCCTCTCAAAGTGCTGGGATTACAGGCATGAGCCACCGCGCCCAGCCTACTTTGTTTATATTTTAATGATCTATAAACATCAGGCAGTGAAAGTTATTAGAAATAAATTGCAGGTACTGAATGTAACATTAAACAAGTGTAGAGATACTGAAAGGAAAGCACCAGAGAGGTCCTGAGTGTTTCCTAAAAGGAGCTATAGACATTGGTTATTTTCTTAGCTTAAAATGCCTAAAAAGGAAGGCAACAATTTATCATTCATCTTATATATTTCCCGAGCACTACTATGTTCCTGTTACTCTTACGCACTTGAAATTGTGGCAGTCAGTAAGACAAGGCCACATGCATAATAATGGGGCTGAATAATGGACAGGAGACTAAGGAAAAATACCAGAAGGAAATGTTTTATTACGTTACTAAAATATTGTTTGAATCCCCTAAGACTTTAAAAGAATTTTTTAGATCTGTCACCCAGGCTGGAGTGCAGTGATGCATAGCTCACTGAAGCCTCAAACACCTGGGCTCCAGCAATCCTCCCACCTCAGCCTCCTGAGTTGCTGGGATTACAATAGGCATGAGTTACTATACCCAGCAGAATCTGCTAAGACTTAGTCCTTAGTGCTCCTTCAGTCTTTTGTAAATTTCATCTCCTCTTACAAACTTATCTTTCACTTTTCTATGAATGACTCCTAAATCTCCAGCAGCCCTAAAATCCCAGCTTTCAGTCCCATCTTTCATCTGCCTGCTGAATGTTCCTACTGGGATGCTCCACTGATACCTCTAATTCAAGATGGCTTTAAACGGTCTCACTTTCTCCTGAAAAAAAAAATGTTGAATTTACCTTTTTTCTCTTTTTGTTTTCACTACAATTACATTCCAAGCCACCAGACCTGAATCTCAAGTTGCTCTTTCCTTGACATTCCCCCAGTCCCCATAGCCAGCCCCCCTTATTTCCTTCAGGCATCTGCTATGACCATCCTTATAGGAAAGAGCTGCTCCTTCCTTCCTCATCCAAATACCTAACACTATAGCTTTATTTGTTTATTGGTTTTAGTATATTTAGTTTATATTTAGTTTATTTAGTATATTTAGTTTATTGGTTTTAGTATATTCACAGAGATATGTAACCATAACCACAATCAATTTTAGAGCATCTTCATCACCTTCAAAAGAAACCCATACCCATTAGCGGTCATTCATCCTTCCTATCCCCAATCCCCACAAACACCCCACCTGCCCTACTCTAAGCAACCATGAATCTATTTTCTCTCAGGATTTGCCTACTCTCCTCATTGGGAAGTTTTGAGCTAGGAAGTGACATGCTGTGACAAACCTTTTTAAAAAATATCATTCCAGCTGCTATGTGGAGGATAAATTGTAGGAGTACAAGAGTAAACAGAGAAATTAGGAAGCTCTTGCAGTGAGAAATTATAGTGTCTTAGACCAGCGCAGTGAATGTGAAGATAGAAATGGACATAAATTTTGTTCCTGGCAGGAGGTTGAACCTCCAATTTGTCTTACCACTGAAAATATATACCCAAAATGTGGAGTAAATTTATTTTTCAATCTCCTTAAAGGAAAACTGAGTTTACAAGAAAGCACAGAACCTACAGAGGCTAAATATTAAGTGAATGCAGGAGCTTCAGAAGATAAGCCAGTGCTGAAGCTGAAGGTATCTGCTGAACCCTAAAAAATGTGAGCTTCATGGGAACAAATACAGTCAAGGGCCCACTTACTATGGGCAGTGTGGTTGAAGACCTTTGCATAAAGCAGAGACCAAAGGGCTATACCCTCAGTGTAAGAGTGAATGAGAAATAAGCTTACTCTAAAGAAGACAGGAAGAGAACTTGTTGCCTGTCTCCACTTTGGCATTAAGTGGCAGGGAAAAAAATTGTCCACTGTCACCCAAGTTTTCAGTCTTAATTCATAATGCTTGTGTGGTCAAATTGGTCTTAGCTTGAGATCTTCATTTGAAAATTATTCTGAGTTAGAAGTGCTCTGCAGTGACTGGCAGAATCATTGCAATCCATTCTGGCAACCCTCAACTAAAATCTAGGCCTCAAAGAATTCACACAAAATTCAAGGGACCAGACTTCATGATAAAATCACAAACACACACAAGAAAATATGATACCATGAATAAGAGCCAGCAGCAGCAACGAGTAGTAAAATCAACCCTGCAAACATTTCAGGTTTGGGAATTATTAAATAAAATGTAGTAAACAAGCATGCTTTGTGTTTTGTTTTGTTTGGGCCACTATAACCAACTAATGTAAACTAAACCAGATGGCTTATAAACAACAGAAATTTTTATTTCTTACAGTTCTGCAGACTAGAAAGTCCAAGATCAAGGTTCCAACAGATTCCGTGTCTGTGAAGGCCTGCTCTTTGGTTCAATAGATAGTGCCTTCTTGGCCTGACGAGGTGGCTCACATCTGTAAACCTAGCACTTTGGGAGGCCCAGGTGGGTGGATCACTTGGACCTAGCAGTTCAAGACTGGCCTGGGCAACACGGCAAAACTCTACAAAAAGTACAAAATGTAGCTGGGTGTGATGGCTTGCTCCTGTAGTCCCAGCTACTTGAGAAGCTGGAGGGGAAAGGATTGCTTAAGCCTGGGAGGTCAAGGCGGCAGTGAGCTGAGATTGCAGCACTGTACTCCAGCCTGGGTGACAGAGGAGCAGGACCCTGCTGGAAGAGGAGCGGAGGAGAGGGCAGGGAGGGGAGGGGAGGAAGGAAAAGAAAGGAAAGAAAGAAAGACAAACCAGATAGCGCCTTCTTGCTGTGTCCTCACATGGTAGAAGGTACAAACAGACTCTGCGCCTCTTTTGTAAAGGCACCAATCTCACTGATGAGGGCTCAACTCTCATGACCAAATCACCTCTCAAATGCTCTATCTTAATACTATCACCTTGGGGGTTAGGATTTCAACATATGAATTTGGGGAGGATGTAACATTCAGACCATAGCCATTCATATATTTAAAGAAATTTAAAAAATGGAAAATTTGGGAAAGGAACAGGAGATTGTTTAAAAAAAAAAAAAAAAGAAAAGAAAAGAAACCCGAAAAACTACCAAACAGAATTGAAAAGTAACCAATAGGAACTTCTAGAATTGAAATTGAAATTTTAATTATAGGTCAAAAAATGATAAAGTGGGCTGGGTGCAGAGGCTCACACCTATAATCCTAGCACTTTGGGGAGCTGAGGCAGGTGGATTGTCTGAGCTTAGGAGTTCAAGACCAGTCTGGGCAACATGACAAAACCCTGTCTCTACTAAAGTACAAAAAATCAGCCAGGCATGGTGGTGCACACCTGTAGTCCCAACTACCTGGAAGGCCGAGGCACAAGAATTGCTTGAACCTGGGAGGCAAAGGTTGCAGTGAGCCAAGATCGTGTCACTGCACTCCAGCCTGGGCAACATAGCAAGACTCTGTCAAAAAAAAAAAAAAAAAAAGATAAGGTGAACAGAACACTGAATTGGAAGATAAATCTAAAGAAATTCAAATACACCACAGAGAGATGTCGAGTTCTACATATGTGAAAAGAGGTTAAGAGGCTTTGAGGACAGAATAAGAAAGCCTCACAAATTTATAATAGAATGGGAAAGAGGCAATATTATTTTAAATAGCCAAGAATTTCTCAGAATCACTGAAGCTTTTGTATTTCCTTTCGGGAAGCTGAACATATCCAGAGAAGGTTAAATAAGATGACAACATACACAATGAGGCATTATAGTATATTGCAGAACC